TATGTATGTATGTATGTATAAGGAAAAAATACAATCGGTCTGCTTTAAATTCACCCCCACGAGCAGCAACAGATGACACAACATCAGAGTGGCATCCAGGGGTCAGTGGGTCAACTTTTGCTTGCTGGCAGTCGTCTGTGAGCTTGAATAACATTTGTTATTTACTCGACTTACACAGCAGACTGTAAAAGCTACACCATGTTAACATTATCCACCACGCAGTTTTGAAATGATCCGAACGGGCCATGTGTTCATTGTCTGCCTCGACGCCTTTGTAGTTAATTGAGGACAGTGGAGCTGACAGCGTTCGTAGCAGCAGAGCACAGAAAAGCACGACAGAGGCAGCGGGACCTCACTTGCAGAGCCTCTCTGCTCATTTCTTTAAGTGTGCGCTTTTATGTGTATGTGTCATGCACACAAAAGCGCACTCAGTGTGGGCACGTTGTCAGCCCTGTTACATTTCTTCTTTCTCAAAGAGACACCCTTCAAGGTGGCGGCAGGCCCGGTCTCACACTATGTGACAAGAGCTTCTTCCTCTCACAGTCCTACTGTCTGAAAGGATCTCCTTCGCCTTCAATCCCACTCTCTCTTTTATTCATGCTTCTGCGGGTCTCTTGTCCCCCCCGCCCTAACCAACCTCCCCCCGGTCGCCTCACTCTCCTCCACTCCATTTGTATTCTATTCTTAGGGCCGCTCATCTCTCCTTGATCGTTCATTCTTGTCCTTTTTTTAATCTCATTGTATCTCTCTCCCTCGTCTTGTTCACCCTCAAGTGAGACAATGGCTCCTCTGAGGGCGTCGCGATACGCGAGCCAAAGCTACGATGATAATCCTGTTACACTGCTGCAAGTCAACGCGCAGCAACGTGAAGGCGAGCGAGGAGCGTGTGGAGGGAGAGCGTGCACTTTTAATTCACTTAGGTCAAAGTTTGACCAAGTGAAGCTGGTGTAAACTATGGAAACGTCACAGAAAGCTTTAAAACAAAAAGAAAAATCCTCGAGTGTGCTTGATGCTGCATTTGGAAAATGACATTAGGGTGGTGCTTATGTAAAAAAGTTACTTATAAAAATAGCAGCCATTGTGCAAATTTGTGTGAGAGACCTTTAGAGCGCATAGAGCTGAAGAGTCAGTTTGACTGGCCATCTCCATGTTGTTGTTCACACTTCCTGTCTTTTGTCTCAGCTTGGCCGGCATCCTTCCACCTCACCCCTCCTGCCACAGAGAAACCTTCTCTTACTCACTGTAATCTGGTGACAATGGGTCATACACAGGAAAGTGGAGATGTGACAATATATGTTGTCACATTTATGTTTAAAGTTACAACCATGAGATTTGAGTTGTGCTGTTTCCAGGAACAATGGCAGGAAAGTGTGTGTGCGTGCTTGCAAGGGCGAGGGAAGTTAATGAGCTTTCAAGAACGTATGAAGAAGAAATCCTCTTTTAGCCAAATTATAAGTTTTTTAGAAGTTTTGAAGACCATAATGTTCCCCAGTACCCCAGAGGCCCATTCAACATTTATTCTGTAATTTCCCAGCTGTGCAGCCTTCAGTCTGAAAACCTTTTTCAGGCTGAAGTTAGTTTCTCTGTGTGTTTTAGTGCTTTTTCTGTTCCTGCCTTCACGATTCCGACCTGCTTCTCCATCATACGTCCTTCACCCATCCTTAACCTCTAATTAATCACAGGACGACCAGACAGTAATCCTCCCCTTAAACCAATCAGCACGCAGGAAACACAGCTGCTTCCTCTTCCTGTGTCAATGACACACAGATATCAGGGAAACCCAAACATAGGTAGAACCTAATGCCTACCATACATCAGGTTAATCTGACCCAGCCCCCCACCCCTCCCCAATGTAATGACTGGTGACTCTTTCTATCTAAACATACAGCAGGCTGCTCCTTAACCCCGCGGGATTAAATCGACGGAGGGAGTAATCCCGTCCTTAGCTCCAGATATCCTGGAGAAAGACGACTGACGTCTTTACCTCAGACAGTGGAGCGAGACACCAGAGACGGCCATTAAGTATTCTCCTCTTGCAGTTAGCGGGCAATGTGGAGCACTTTACCCAATTCACCTTGCCCCCTAATGGATGATGAGTGATATTGCATTCTGAACTGCTCTCACCTCTCGTTTTATCTCCCACTCTCCCTCCCCTCTCCTCCTCTTTGACCAGGTTCCCCCTCCGTTCCTGTCACAGTGACGACCAACAGACATAAAGTGGAGGTAGAGGAGCACAAAGGTGAGGCGGGAAAAAAAAATAAAGCAGCCCTCCTGTGGGCCGCTTCCACGTTTTGGTCTTTTTTGGTTTGTTATTTCTAACCAAGCTTCTATCTGATTCTCTCTGTCAAAATAAATCATAAGGCTATAAATAGACCAAGCAGTTAAAAATGCCACTGATCCTTTGCTGCTGTGGAATAAATATCTCATTGGTCACACTCCCTCTTTAGATGCAGTGCTGTCCTGCATATTCTATACAGAGAAAGACCAGCAACCACGCATCGAATGGAAGAAGAAGGGGAAAGACGTCTCCTTTGTGTTCTACGGTGGAAAGTTTCGAGGTGAGAAAGCATCCTGTCGCTCTCCATCCTCTCGGTGAACAAACAGGACATTTGTTGTAATCAGCTTGCAGTACCAGCTGGATAGGGTGTGCCACACAAAACCCCCCACAAAAAACAAAACACTTGGGTATGGGTGAGATATTTCACAGTCTATGTGTCTCTTGTCCTTGATCTCTCATCTTTATGTTTTAGGATTTGAATTTAATGGGCGAAATAAATAATGAATCGCAGCAGCTTTCACCCGGGCCAGTCGTTTTTAAAGGCGGTGCAGTTAGCCTGACAGTTTTCTCAAATATGTCAAGGCTTTGAAATGCCTTTGACCCATCGCTGCCTCTTCATTGGCTGCTTTACGGCTGAAGTTTGTTTTAAAGGTGCTATGAATAGTTACTGTGTTCATAATGTGAGGCTGCTTCTTAGAAATTGCTGCTATATCTTGTGAATTCATGACAAGCCTTGCCATGGAAGTCGTCCTTTCAAGCTGTTATCTCTCTGAGATAACAGCTTTTTGATATGGAGTTATGTAAACTGCACGACTGCGGATTGTAAAATGTATTATTTTAATTTCAGCTGAGATATCATGTTATAGTTTACTGTTTTAAGAAAAATTCCCCAGCCCCTTAGGTAGAGGGGATTCCCCAACCAGGAGTACTTGATGTAGCCGGGAAATATATGTGGAAATGTCAGTTTAACTGTTACAATTGAACAACCAAGTGGTGGTAAAGTTAACAAATTGTGCGGGGGAAAACACCAAAAAGAACCCAGAAAGGATTAATATATATATGTATATATATATATATATATATATATAATGGTCCAAAAATCAAGAGGAAGTTCAAATAGATTACTGAAAGTATGGCTACTATATGAAAGTATAACAAATTAGCTTAACATAATAGATAAACACGTAAAACAGTGGCTAGCTAAAACGTATTCCTAGCTTTTAAAATGTTGGCTAACCGTATTGATTAAGTGTTAAGCTAGTAACTTAAAGTATGGATAAACAGTTGAAATGTTTAGCTAACCACTGGTAATGTTTAGGTGTAGTAGCTAAAAGGTATGTATGAATAATATTGAAAGTAAATACTGGATACATTTGAACACCAAAGGTCACAAAAAGGTTGTTGGGAACCAGTTTCTTAGGGAGACAACAAGCTAATATTTGGTCAATATTTGGTATGGCCACCTTTATTCTCCATCACACTCTTTGGCAGCTTTCTTGTCATGTCTTTAAGTAGTCTTCAGGAATTATTCTCCAGGCTTCTTGAAGGACATCCAAAGCTCTTCTTTGGATGTTTCTCCCCTTTGTTCTGTTCTCTGTCAACATGCTTCCACACTGCTTCAGTAATGTTGTGGTCTGAGCTCAAGGGAGGCCAATCCATGACTCATAGTGCTCCATTGTGTGTTTTTCTATCCAGATATGCTTTTACTGCATTGACGTGTGTTTGGGATAACTGTCATGCTGAAAAATGAAGCTGTTGCCAATAAGATGCTTTCCAGATGGTATTGCATCATGAATCAAAAACCGATGGTGCTTTCCTCCATTCATAATTCAATCAATTTTTGCAAGTTCCCGAGCACCACTGGCTGACATGCAGCCACAAACCAGATGGCTGTAGACACTGTCGTACCTTTCCCCTGACCTCCTCTATATATACTGACAATGATTTAAAGCAAATATCGAATCAAATAGAATTTTTCATAGATTAAACTAAAGAAATGGGAACAAATGAGGCTGCTAGTAACAAAGCGCCCAAAGATACAATTTAAAATTGCTAAGTTGTCTGTTATGTGTAGACACAACACTGGTTCATCTCTCAAGTTAGGTGCTTTTTTTACTCTTGAATAAGTCGGTGTTAAGTGGGTTAACACACACACAAACAAATCCTTCTTCTGAGAATGGTCAGGTACAAGCACTGGGCTGAAAATGAGTGAAAAAGCAGCCAAATAAAAACTTTGAAAGACCTTCATAAAGCCTGAAGATGTACTGTTCAAAACAACTTTAAAGGCTTACAAGAAAGTGTGGCTCCATGGAAGGAAATGTAAAGAAATGAAGGGTTATCCAACACTTGCACAGCGCTACATCATTGGAGAAAATGCATAATAGTTTTATAAATTCTTAAAAGTTGATTTATGTAAGTGTGAATACAGAATGATTTCTTGTCTTGGCTAAAAACCTAACCTGATGAAATCCCTGTAACTAAAGCCATTTATTAGTGCAGTGTGAATACCAAGTAAATATAGGACCAGTGTTACAGATACCAATGGTTGAAAGCAGCTGATGTAGGGAAGAGCAGTGTTTGATCATTTATGAGATGAATCCTCATCAATTTGCAAATTATTTTAATACATTTTAATGTTATTTTTTGCAGTAAATTTAAATAACTACTAAATCATTGTGATTTTTACTTTCCAGCTAATTTCAGCTTTTCGTGTATTTTGAAACTTTTTTTTGGGAGACCGGAAATGTAACCGTGTCTGTCTCTAAATCACTTTGGGTCCACTTCTGTTGTTTAAATGTGCTACAGGCTATAAATAAAATAGATGTGACAGTCAAACACAAAAAGGTATGAGGTACATTGTCTTTCATAAAAAAATATACATATATAAATTTAACATACTGAACCTAGCAGATAAAAACAAAGCATCAATCTTATCATGCTAGCACAGGGGTGGGCAATTCCAGGCCTCGAGGGCCGGTGTCCTGCAGGTTTTAGATCTCACCTTGGGTCAACACACCTGAATCACATGATTTGTTCGTTACCAGGCCTCTGGAGAACTGCAGGAGCTAATTTAGCCATTTAAATCAGCTGTGTTGGTTCAAGGACATGTCTAAAACCCTTGAGGCCTGGAGTCGGCCACCCCTGTTCTAAGACCATCCAACCAAAATATCGGTAGTATCGGTATCGATATTTAGATCGATCCGCCCACCTTTACCAGTGATACACACAAACTCCTGACGATGAAGTAGAGCGTACAACAGGCTGGACACAGGACAGCCACTCGATAGCTGTACCAGATTATTACCCACACACACAAACATGCACTCCGTGGCTGTCTGATCAGACTTGGACATTTGCATTTTCACATACACCTCCATTGGGTAATGTCTACAAAAGTCCAGGGTTCAGTGCATGTGTGTCACATCCAGTAGCTGCATGACAGTATAAGAAATCCTCAGTGTTGGGTTTACAGCAACTCAAAATGTCTCCAAATTATAGCAGTGGTTAAAAAAAAGCAAACATTTAATTGTAGATTATTTTACTCATGCTGCAATTGTTCAATTGCTACTGGTTATTAAATTTTGGGTGGCAGTATTGCAGACCATAGATTATAACATGCAGTGGCTGTAGCCCACAGCCATGGAAGACATTTCCACTTCTGACCTTATATTCTTTCTCTCAGGTCCCTTTGAGGGCCGGGCGACCATTGAAGGAGCGACAGTGACGCTGAAAAAAGTGACCCAGGAGGATGCTGGAGAGTACCGCTGTGAGATCAGTGCTCCTAAAGACTCTGTCAGCCTGGGCGAGACCAATGTAACGCTTAAAGTCCTAGGTACCACTGACTGAGATGAGAATCTGCTGTAATAAGAACATTCAAACTATTTTAAAGATGGGAATGTTTTTTTGCTTACATTGGTGTGATTTTTCTGCCCGTTCTTTTAGTGCCACCTCAAACCCCACTCTGTGAAATCCCCAGCTCAGCAGTGACTGGTTCAGTGGTACAGCTGAGCTGCAGGGACCAGCACAGCATCCCACCTGCCACTTACTCCTGGTACAAGGACAACCAGCCAATGAACCCGCCCCGTCATGCCAACGCAACCTATCTAATCAACTCGCGCACAGGAGTTCTGGTGAGACAAATAAGTGTGTGTGCATGCAGATAAAGAAAAACAGGGAAATGTTGCACACTGTAGTATCGTGTAAGCATAAAGATGCTTCTGCTGAGTTGCTCTTCGGTTTGATACAAGGTAGTATTCCTGATTCTTCCTCAAGGTTGGTTTTTCTCTTCCACAGGAGTTTAAATCTGTAGCCAAAGAGGACACTGGCCGATACAGTTGCCTGGCATCCAACGGAGTGGGACTACCCAAGATGTGCGAGGCCAAGCATATGACGATAGGTGTGTGTGTGTGTGCGTTTCCACACTAAATCCCGCCTCATCCCCCACACCTTTCAGCACCAGACAAAATCAAGGATGCAGTGGAGAGGAAAAGCCCACTAAGTTCAATCCACCCTGCTTCTAAAGTCTGGACACATTTATAGCCTAGCCTACAGTTTGAAAAGATCCTGTGGCCAGTTTGGGCCAAATTACAAAATTTAAAACGACGCTGTTGATGAAAATAAGTGGTGGGCTTGTTAATAAATCATGTAATGTGCTCTACGTTAATGCACAATACCATTTAAGCACTTAAAGTAGACCTGTTATGCTTATTTTCAGCTCCATATTTTTTATTCTTGGACTGTGCTGGAGCAGCTGTGCTTGATTTTAAAAAGCAGTTTATTTTACACTGAGCCTGGTGCAGTCCATCTGTCTGAAACTAGCTCCGCAAACTTGCTTCCCATTGGCTCATTAATGTTTTAACAGCAGGTGGGTGGAGCTTTTGCAATCACAGATGGCCATATTAGGGGTTGCCGCTCTCAGTGACATCACACAGAGCCACGAGGGGAGAAGCCTGTCTAAAACAGAGCATTTAGAGCAGTCTGTGACCTGAGCTTGTGGCTCACAGGCAGTACTTATACATTTGGTTATGTTTAAGATGAGCATACATCATTCTAACTGTTATATGACAAAAAGAAAAGCATATTAAGTGGACTTTATTAAATTATAGGAATGCTGAAGTACAGCTTCCCACTTTAGGAGATTATTTTGCTTTATTTGCTGTTTCCTGATTTATCTTGTGTCTCGCTGCTTCAATAAATTAG